TCAAGACCATAGTGCTCCTACAGTGTGCTTCAACCAACCACTAGTTATTGCACATGATATCAAGACCATAGTGCTGTCACGGTGTTCTTCAACCAACCACTAGTTATTACACACGATATCAAGACCATAGTGCTGTCACGATGTGCTTCAACCAACCACTAGTTATTACACATGATATCAAGACCATAGTGCTCCTACAGTGTGCTTCAACCAACCACTAGTTATTACACATGATATCAAGACCATAGTGCTGTCACGGTGTTCTTCAACCAACCACTAGTTATTACACATGATATCAAGACCATAGTGCTCCTACAGTGTGCTTCAACCAACCACTAGTTATTACACACGATATCAAGACCATAGTGCTGTCACGGTGTTCTTCAACCAACCACTAGTTATTACACATGATATCAAGACCATAGTGCTCCTACGGTGTGCTTCAACCACTAGTTATTACACACGATATCAAGACCATAGTGCTCCTACAGTGTGCTTCAACCAACCACTAGTCATTACACATGATATCAAGACCATAGTGCTGTCACGGTGTTCTTCAACCAACCACTAGTTATTACACATGATATCAAGACCATAGTGCTCCTACGGTGTGCTTCAACCCCTAGTTATTACACACGATATCAAGACCATAGTGCTCCTACAGTGTGCTTCAACCAACCACTAGTTATTACACATGATATCAAGACCATAGTGCTCCTACAGTGTGCTTCAACCAACCAACGAAATGGCAGAAGAGGAAGAGAAGAAGATAATTATTTTATCATTGTGTCACACTTTGCTTTTACAATGTATATAAACATGATAATAACATAGAAAACATGATAATAGCATAGGAAACTTGATAATAACATAGGAAACATGATAATAACATAGGAAACATGATAATAACATAGGAAACTTGATAATAACATAGGAAACATGATAATAACATAGAAAACATGATAATTACATAGGAAAAGCTAGCTCATGAGGCTTACGAAACACAAATGTACATAAAACTATCAAATACTATTAAAAATAATAAACACGTATACACACAAATGATTTAACTACAGAATAAGTAATAACTGAGATGAAACTATGAATAGATTACAACGTGATAGGAAAGAGAGTGGCACTTAGGAGGGGTGGACTCTGCAATTTGTACATGGTGGAATGAGTTGCGGCTAGGAATTGTGAAAAGAGATCATGTAACATTATATGACCCACTTTAAGACACCTGCGCCTGCGTTAGTACAGAGTTTTGATGTTATGCTATATTTTAGTACCTGGGTGTTCGATTTATACAATCACTCAACCCAAGCTGGGACCGGGACACACACCAGTAATTTACGAGTCATTACACATGTCCTCGGCGCACAGTCCATAATTGATGGGAACAATCGACTGGGAAATTTAATTTGACATTCAATATGTAAATCACATGTCGTTTGTTCACCATATAACTGCAAAGGCTGCACATAACTTGTCTAATGAAAAAGGGACGAACTAGAGACCACAGATCTGCCACTTTCAGGTTATCCAGCTGTATAAAGTTGCAATCTAAAAATGAGTATGTGAGTGAATTTTGTTTATAACCGCAGTCATCAATATGCCGCTTTTAACAGTATTCCAGTTACATCGCGTCGTGTCAGCTTAATGTGGGAGGAAAGCCCGAAGTGATGCAGGTCTCAGTCGTTTACCCCTTTGATGAAACCCACGAGTACGGGTATGGTGCTGACAAACTCAGAAACATAATCGGGGCGAACCGGGATTCGAACCCACAATCATAGGTTTCTGGCGTGTCCGAATTGCGGCGCCTTCGACGACTGGACCAATCATGCCCCATAAATAATCAAGTGTGGACAAACCATTGACTGTATAGGATTAGGATGCAAGGGTACGCTTGCAACTCTTGTCTTCAGCAACCCATGCTTGCCGTAAAAGTTGACTAAGCTTGTCGTAAGAAGCGACTAACGGGATCGGGTGGTCAGGCTCGTTGACTTGGGTTGATGCATGTCATCGTATCCCAATAGATGCTCATAATGTCAATCACTGTATTGTCTGGTCCAGCCTCGATTATTTACAGACCGCCGTCATATAGCTGGTATATTGCTGAGTGCGGCGTTAAACCAAAAAAAAACACACAAAAAAAACAAGTTTAATGTCTCTGTCAACATAGAAGATGCCTCTTCACTGATGATATATGCAAATGTGCAAGTTGGATTGGATTTTAAGGCTTTTTTCATCAAATGAGTGTGGTAACCCTCAACATGATGGTCAGTGTTTGGTGTATCATGTCAAAAAAAGGTTCCACATATACTGACCACATAGTCATGGATTTATCAGAGCTTAACGGTCCAGTGATCCATGACAATTACTTATTACTACTTACTTAGTCTGATACCCACAACTGACCAACTCGCGTAAGCTGCTAAACTAACGAGCCTTAACAGCTAATCCTATTACAAGGGGGTAAACCTAGAGAACGGCACAGCCAGTCGGGGGCCTGCAGGGGTTGGGCCATTTAAGCAACGTTACGAGCTGGCGGGGCAAAGGCACGGACAGACAGATACCGTCTCACCCCAGTACTGTACAACATAGGTAAAGGTCTAAGAGTGAACCTTTCGGTTCGTTTTTCTAATGTGATTGTTAAATGTATGTATGTATGTATGTATGTATGTATGTGTGTGTGTGTGTGTGTGCATGCGTGCGTGCGTGCGTGCGTGCGTGTGAGATTGTTCTTTGCGATTTATCGCGTAACTATCTCCTATATGTCCCCCATTATTCACGACAGAAATTACTCACACTGAACCCTCCGTGGTTACACACACGTACAAAGATTGTGGCTACTACATTACCTCCGTGGCTTATGACACATGTCGTGTGATCCAACTAGTCCTGTATTCAGAATCAGGATTTTCGCACACATCTGATAGTCCCGCCATGACCTTCTCCAATGAACCCGCTCTATAGCAAGTTCATCCCATCCACTAGATCTTAAAACTTACGTCAGACCTGGAAACAAACGTCTCTAATCCCCTTCACAAGATGTTAAGAAATATATCGTTTTCCATCTCCGAAAGATGAACACCGTCATCTCTAAAAGACATGTGTTTTGTTTGTTGTTTAACGCCGCACTTAGCAATATTCCAGCTATATGACGGCGGAATGTGAATGATTTAATCTGGACTAGACAACACAGTGATTGACATCATGAGCACCGATCTACGTAATTGGTATACGATGACATGCATCAACCAAGTCAGCGAATCTGACCACCCGATCCCGTGAGTCGCCTCTTACGACAAGCACAGTCGCCTCTTACGACAAGCATGGGTTGCTGAAGACCATCTAACCCAGATCTGCACGGGTCTGATGTGACACTGTCTATACAGAATGTACTCAATAAAATGACAATATAACCCAGGTTCGTACGGGTATTTGGGTATTGTACAGTTATTGGTGGTTCGCGCGTCTATCTGCTTTATCAACAACAGGTTAGTCAATACGTAATTTATCACGCTTAAAATATTTCTACAAAAAGTTGGCTACTTTCCATGTCGACACTGTGTATTTTACTGGTGCTTCATTTAATTATTGTGTGTGTACGTGTGTGTGGTGTGGGTGAGTGATGTGTGTATGTGTGCGTGTGTGTGGTTGTGTGTGTGGTTGTGTGGTATGTGTGTGTATGTGCTGCTTTTCAACGCCGCACTCAGCAACGTGTTCTGTAATAAATCGACTCTGGAGGGACAGGCAACCCAGTGATTAATATTGCGAGCGACTATCCCAATGGGGTCTGTTTTATCAATAACAGAAGAACTCAATGTTAATTCAACATAATAACTAGTCTTTCATATATTTTACATGGTTCATTTATTGTTTTAATAAGTGCTCCGGCCATTGCCCTTAGGACGCTGGGTATTGTTAATTCTCTTCAGGGACACAGTGGGAACTGACTGACGTGTAAATATGTACAGTATGTGACGCTGTAAGATCAAATATATAGATCCCAAAGTTCTGGGGGTATGACAAATGGTTGCCCCGTGAAGATCCGGGGTAGAATAGGTCTTCAGAACCCACGCTTGTCGTAAAAGGCGACGGTAACGGGATCGGGTGGTACGGCTCGCTGACTTGGTTGATGCATGTCATCGCATGGGCGGATACAGAGGGGTGGTGGGGGGGGTCGCGCACCCCCCTTTTTATTTCGAAAAAAAACTTTATTTCTGTTTAAATTACCACCAAAGACAATAAATAGATCTTAATTGTGCACCCCCCTTTTCAAAATAGCTGTATCCGCCCATGCATCGTATCCGAATATACGTTGATTGGTGCTCGATCATGACATCAATCATGCACTGGATTGTTATTTACAGAACGTCGTCATATAGCTGGAATATTGCTGAGTGCGGCTTTAAACAACAAACAAACAAATGGGAGGTATCGAAAAAAAGGTAAAGATGACAACGCCCATAACTAGACCAGGCACCCATCACTTCCATACCACCCCACAACGACAACCACACACACACCGAGTTATCATTGAGTTACTGTACGTTCAACAGTCTGCACGTATACGTGACACTGTCGATCAGAAGCTGTGGATAGCACATTTTTTTTCAACTTGGTCAATCTTTTTACTCTTCCGCCAACACATGGGTTGTGGCCCTTGACTCACATAACGGTTTCGGTAAATCAGCAATTACCTCAACAGTATTGTATATATCACACACCTATTGAACTGAAATATACATGGAATGGTCATTATACTGATATTTTCACTAAAAACGTCAAACTAGATTTCTCAGTCAAAATAGTTAACAGATGTATCGTTACTTTTTACTTTGTTTTAAAACTTGCTTTAAAATTACACTGTCCCGTTCTTTTTACTTGATACGAGTGATACGAAATACATTTTGTTTGTGTCAGGAGGAAAGTTTTAGCGGCGAGTTTCTCTTGAATCACGTGAACTGCCATCAGCCAATCAAAATTGCCGATACTCCGCCATCTTTTATTGTCACTTCCTCTTTGGAGAGCACGAGCGAGGGTGGAAAGAAGTTCAACATCGTAAATTGCGATGATTTTACTCGAAATAAGCAATAGGATAGTCGAAGAGACTTTGGCAACAAAATTCAGAAATGTTTTAGAAGGGTAAGTGTTTGTCAAAGCTTTAAAATTCAACACAAGTCGTAGCCGGCGTCACACGGTCGGAGGCAGTGCCCGTTCATTCCACTTCCGCATGTCAATTATTGCTAAAGGCAAGGGTTTTCAAAGTTTTCAAGATCTTTAGTTAGGAGTTTTCTTCCACTAGCGTGTTTAAAAGCAAGCACGTTTCCTTTTGTTAAGTTAAGGCTTCTTGCTGAACCCTTGTCTGCGTAATATCGCATATTTTAACCGATAACACATACATTTTCCTTATGTATTTCGTGCACCGCTTATCATTCGTGTCGCAACGCCCCAGTAATCAACATGAAGAAAAACTAACAAATGGACTGTGTAGCCTCTATGTCAAAAGTATTTACGAGTACGTTATCAGTCTGTAACGATGGTCCTTGTCGGATGAGGTACAGACTGCCTCCTGTCGGATCTAGTTTGTTGGAAGTTAACACTAACAGTCTGGGGAGTAACCTGTGACTCAGCTTCCTGTGAGGCACAGGGATGGTTCATGGAGTGTTGTGTTTGCCAGCTGCAGAGCATGCACTGGAGCACAGTTGGTGACTTTAGTCACTTGTCCCAAGTCCAGTCAAATTCTGTTTTGTCTGGTATACGCTGCTAATAATACTCCACACCAATACAATCTACTGAAAATGGTGACAAGAGCCAAGTTTGGGGTAGTAGACTCAAAAGTTTTGGGCACAGAGGGGAGCAGTGCATTTGTGAATTTATGTAAACAGTCATGTGGTTGTGTGATTTTCAGTAGTGTACTATCGTGTGGTTTATTTGCATACACAACTATCAATGTGAATTTGCTGAATTCACAATTGATCCCAATAAGATTTGTTTACTGGAGTTTGACATGTTCGATACCTCTCCTTAGGAAGTCCTGTCAGGTGAACCAGAAAGCCAGTCCGATATTTGGAGTGTAGATGTCATCGCCCTAAGAACAGCGACAGGGCCCGGTTTCATAAAGCGATCATAAGGCTATTTGTTAAAATAAGCATTAAAATCTCTTCCTCTTTTTTGACCATATGTGTATTATTATTTTTTTTATAAGTCCCCTTGACCAAGTCATCACATTATTTATGATTAGCAAAGAAGTGTTCAATTCACAATTGTTACATAGATTTGGGGGCACGGGTGGCCCAGTCGTCTAAGGCGTCGCAATTCGCTGTGCAGAGTTGCGTCCCTTTGGCACGCCAGAAACCTATGATTGTGGGTTTGAATCCCAGTTCGCCCCGAGGTTTGTCAGCACCATACCCGTGCTCGTGGGTTTCACCGAAGTGCTGTCGCTTCAGGCTTTCCTCCCACATCAAGCTGACACACCACGATATAACTGGAATACTGTTAAAAGCGGCGTTAAACCCAACTCACTCACTGTTACAAAGATTTGCTGTAGACACTTGGGAACAAACATCAGCCTCTGAGCAGGTCTTGATAAATCCCTGGTAATGGGACATCCTTTCAGCACCCTCCAAACAACACTCACTCTCATCAAACAATTGTTGAACGATTTCAGCTGCAAGGAGACCAACAATACCACAAACATATTTTTGGTTGTCTTTTCAGAGGGAAGCCTGATGGTGTGGACATAACAGTTGCAGGTATGTGTGTCTACAAATCATGGCTGTTAGGTTAACATGTTGGCATAACTCTAAAAATTAGTGGGTTTGGCAGTGCTAATAGACATGATATATTAGTTTTGTATATGCCTAAACATTATCTTGATCATACATTATGCAAAAATTAATCAGTTACCAAGGTAATATAGATTTTGTAAGTTTCAATCACGTCATTAGAGTCAAAATGCGAAAGAAATGACAAATAGTGTTTTAAGTTATTTAAAAAAAGGCATATTCAACTTATTTTCTGCAATTCGCAGAATCACAGAATTTGTCTAAGTCACATTTTCTGCAAGAGCAAATCCTTCCGCCATCATAGAATCGCAGAATTTGTCTGGGACTGTTCCATGCTGATCTTTCTTCAGTGATGAATGCAAGCATCACATATGTGAATTCTGTTGCATTAACCATGTTAACAAGTGATCCGTGAAGATCGGGGGTAGAATAGATCTTCAGCAACCCATGCTTGCCGTAAAAGGCGACTAACAGGATCAAGTGGTAAGGCCTGCTGACTTGGTTGATGCATGTCATCATATCCCAATTGTGTGGATCGATGCTCATGATGTCAATTACTGGATTGTTTGGTCCAGACTTGATTATTTACAGACCGTCGTCATATCGCTATTTATTTATGTATAATACGCACTCGTATGTTATATGCACCCTTAATTATTGGCAATTAAATCCTGGAAAAATATATCTGTTGTATAAACATTTAAGGCTGTCAGCATAAACCAAAAAATTTACGATCTTTCAACTCAAAATAATATTCTAATAAGAGCCCCCTATTTCTAATTTTGAGAGCGCCCTGGGCGCTTATTGCGCCGAAGACGGTATATGTTAATCGTATATAATCCGGAGGCTTCATCATCATTTGCACTAAAACGATTGCTAAGGCTGTACCTGGTAATCTACAAGCCTTGAAGTTGATTTCTTAGTTCTATCTAACAAAAGTATGAGTGCATGTGCCTTGAAGTTTGTGTGACAGAATGTGAAAGTAGAAATGTTCATCCTTTGTGTTGACCCGGTTTACAGACTTCGATGGCGTGCTGTACCACATATCAAACCCTGATGGAGACAAGGGGAAAATCATGGTACGTTCATCTTTATCATCTTTATTTCAATATCAGAATGACATGGATTGCATTCAAGAAATATTTTGCTGACCAGTTAAGTTTTGTACCTCAATATTTTTATATTGTATTTTAAGTCAGTTGTTTTGTGAAGAACTCATTCTGTTTATGCAGGTCATGTGCAGGATGTTTATAGATTTATGGATACATGTATATGTATTTTAATCAATCAAAACAACGTGTGTTTATTGTGTCGTTTGGCTCTGGAATTTGATTCCATATACTGAACAAATAAAACAGGATCACCTTACAATATTGTCACAACTGAAATGGCAAATAAAACTTCCCACTGTTTCCATGTTTAACATGGCTTAACATGTTTAATGGCTTTGAAAGTGGATTGTTTTCAGGGAAGTTCAATGTTTCCTGGTGTTTTTATCAACAAGAATATTAATCAGTCATACATTTTGGATTTTATTTGGAAATTGTAGAGGTCAATATGCCCTAACCATAATGACGATTTCCTTGAATGTGTCACCTGTGAGTTGAATGTGTTACCTGTTTGTTGATTGTGGTACCTGTTTGTTGAATGTGTCACCTGTGTGTTGAATGTGTCACCTATGTGTTGAATGTCTCCCCTGTGAGTTTTATGTCTCCCCTGTGAGTTGAATGTTTCACCTATGTGTTGAATGTGTCACCTTTGTGTTGAATGTGTCACCTATGTGTTGAATGTGACTCTGTGTGTTGAATGTGACTCCTGTGTGTTGAGTGTCTCCCCGTGAGTTGAATGTCTTCCCCGTGAGTTGAATGTGTCCCCTGTGAGTTGAATGTGTCCCCTGTGTGTTGAATGTGTCCCCTGTGTGTTGAATGTGTCTCCTGTGAGTTGAACGTCTTCCCCATGAGTTGAATGTGTTCACTGTGAGTTGAATGTGTCCCCTGTGAGTTGAATGTGTCTCCTGTGAGTTAAATGTCTCCTGTGAGTTAAATGTGTCCCGTGTGTGTTGAATGTGTCCTGTGTGTTGAATGTGTCCCCTGTGTGTTGAATGTCTCCCCTGTGAGTTGAATGTCTTCCCCATGAGTTGAATGTGTACACTGTGAGTTGAATGTGTCCCCTGTGAGTTGAATGTGTCCCTTGTGTTGAATGTGTCCCCTGTGAGTTGAATGTGTCCCCTGTGTGTTGAATGTGTCCCCTGTGAGTTGAATGTGTCCCCTGTGTGTTGAATGTGTCCCCTGTGTGTTAAATGTGTCCCCTGTGAGTTAAATGTGTCCCCTGTGTGTTAAATGTGTCCCGTGTGTGTTGAATGTCTCCCCAGTGTGTTGGATGTGTCACCTGTGAGTTGAATGTCTCCCCTGTGCAGTTGAATGTCTTCCCCTGTGAGTTGAATGTGGCCCCTGTGAGTTGAATGTGTCCCCTGTGTGTTGAATGTCTCCCAAGTGTGTTGAATGTGTCACCTGTGTGTTGAATGTCTCCCCTGTCAGTTGAATGTCTCCCCTGTCAGTTGAATGTGTCCCGTGTGTGTTGAATGTGTCCCCTGTGAGGTGAATGTGCCTCAATAACATTACTTATTTCCATGTTATTTACAGATCAGCATCTCCCTCAAATTCTACAAGGATTTACAGGAACATGGAGCTGACACAGTAAGTTTCCTTACACTCAACACTTGTACCCATTCTTGCAAATGAGGCAAAGAAATGGCCGATTTCCTAGATACTGCTAATCTAGGTTAAAAACATAATAGTCTTGGTTCTCAGTCTCCAAGGAATTTGTTTGCTTGTTTTGCTGTTTATTGTTTACATACTAGTTTGAACAAACAAACAAACAAAAAACATCCGCCCACACTTCTATCAAAAGTCATTGCCTGAGGATCAATTCTTTTTTTTTTAAAGCCCTATAGTTAATTCATATTGTGTCACAGACTTGCTCAGTTAGATTATCGCTTGGATTTGGAAAAATCATGCTGAATTTAGCCATTCTTTCCTGGAGTTCAAACTTGTTGGAAAGAAGACTAGTTCTCAACCGTTTGAACATTCTGATAATTCTGATACCATTATTACAAAGATTTCCGTTACACTCAAATTTGACATTTCTAGTCGGCCCTGAGGGGCCTGTATCCTACCTCCTTCCTTGATCCTGTATTGACAGAGATTGGATCAGGTCTGATTTCACTGTACGTTTTTGCTTAATACAGTCCTTTCTGTCCCCAGTTGATCAAGAGAGTATATGGATCGTACCTCACCACAGCCGAAGCAGGTAGGTGGAATAGTCACTAGACGTCTAGCGATACTGTGGGTGTGATACGATATATATCCCAATACTGTGGGTGTGATACGATACATATTCCAATACTGTGGGTGTGATACGATACATATTCCAATACTGTGGGTGTGATATGATACATATCCCAATACTGTGGGTGTGATATGATACATATCCCAATACTGTGGGTGTGATACGATACATATTCCAATACTGTGGGTGTGATACGATACATATTCCAATACTGTGGGTGTGATATGATACATATCCCAATACTGTTGGTGTGATATGATATATATCCCAATACTGTGGGTGTGATATGATACATATTCCAATACTGTGGGTGTGATATGATACATATCCCAATACTGTGGGTGTGATACGATACATATCCCAATACTCTGGGTGTGATATGATACATATCCCAATACCGTGGGCATGGTGGGTGTGATACGAAACGTATCGCAATACTGTGGGTGTGATACAATATATATCCCAATACTGTGGGTGTGATACAATACATATCCCAATACCGTGGGCATGGTGGGTGTGATACGAAACGTATCGCAATACTGTGGGTGTGATACAATATATATCCCAATACTGTGGGTGTGATACAATACATATCCCAATACTGTGGGATTGATATGATACATATTCCAATACTGTGGGTGTGATATGATACATATCCCAATACTGTTGGTGTGATATGGTACCTATCCCAATACAGTACTTTTTACAGTTGAATCAATACCCTGAATCAAGGCTTATGACACGACAAACACTTTAAACTCGTTTACGTTTTTATCACAATGATGTTGCCAGGACATCAACAAAATTCATTCATTTACTGTTCAATAACCGTTCAATATAACCTGTAATGTCATGTATCATATGTATCGGTTTACAAGGGTTGTCACTTGGGAAATTATTTTGTTATTTAAAGTACTTTATTGAGTTTTCCTTTTGGATGTATGATAAGAAACATTTATGAAGTAATGATCATGAGCTGACGCGTAATGACTACGATATGATGATGTTCTAACTTATAGGACGAGAGGGGCATGGGTGGTCCAGTCAAAGCGCCTCAATTCGCTGTGCAGAGTTGCGCCCCTTGGTCATACCAGAAACCTGTGAATGTGGGTTCGAATCCCGGTTCGCCCTGATTGTTTCTATGTTTGTCAGTTTGCTGGCAGTTTTCACCTAAGTGGTAAACATCTGAAACCTGCATAACTTCAGGCTTTCCTCTCACAATAAGCTGACAGTGATGTATCTGGAATACTGTTCAAAGCAGCATTAAACCCAACTCACTCACTCACTCACTCACAGAGCACAATGTGTTATGTTTGACAGGCTACAACGTGTCAATTGTGTTTGACCTTGACAACATTCCGTCAGATCATGAAGAACAGGTGAAGAAGGCAGCACTCCTCAAGCGCAACTGCTTTGCGTCGGTGTTTGAGAAATACTTTGACTTCCAGGAGCAGGGGGAAGAGAGCAAGAAGCGAGCTGTCATCCAGTACAGGGAGGATGAAACAATGTAGGTGCTAGCTGTGTTCCAGCTCATGTACCCATGACGATGTGGGTTAGAATTGGTCCTTGCACCCATGAAGATCTGGGTTAGAATTGGTCTTGAGGAAGCCATTCTCATGTACCCATGACGATCTTGGTTAGAATTGGTCTTGAGGAAGCCATGCTTATGTACCCATGACGATCTTGTTTAGAACTGGTCTTGAGGAAGCCATGCTTGTCTCCCCCTATGAATATCTGGGTTAGAATTGGTCTTGAGGAAGCCATGCTTGTCTCCCCCTATGAATATCTGGGTTAGAATTGGTCTTGAGGAAGCCATGCTTGTCTCCCCCCATGAAGATCTGGGTTAGAATTGGTCTTGAGGGAGCCATGCTTGTCTCCCCCCATGAAGATCTGGGTTAGAATTGGTCCGCTGCTACCCATGCTTGTCTCCCCTGTGAATAGCTGGGTTAGAATTGGTCTTGAGGAAGCCAAGCTTGTCTCCCCCTGTGAATATCTGGGTTAGAATAAGTCCTCAGCACTCCATGCTTGTCTCCCCCAGTAAACATGGTAAAGATCTGGTTTGGATTTTGCCTTCAGCAACCCATGCTTGTCTCCCCCCATAAAGATCCGGGTTAGAATTGGTCTTGAGGAAGCCATGCTTGTCTCCCTCTAGGGATATCTGGATCAGAATTGGTCCTCAGCAACCCATGCTTGTCTCCCCCCATAAAGATCCGGGTTAGAATTGGTCTTGAGGAAGCCATGCTTGTCTCCCCCTGTGAATATCTGGATCAGAATTGGTCCTCAGCAACCCATGCTTGTCTCCCCCAGTAAACATGGTAAAGATCTGGTTTGGCTTTTGCCTTCAGCAACCCATACTCGTCTCCCCCATAAAGACCCGGGTTAGAATTGGTCTTCAGGTACTCATGCTTGTCTCCCCCTGTGAATATCCGGGTTAGAATTGGCTTTAAGCAACCCATGCTTGTCGTAAATGGCTACTAACGGGATTGGGTGGTCAGGCTTGCTGACTTGGTTGATGCATTCCAGTTGAGTTGATTGATGCAAATGTTGTCAATTTCAAGACTGTCTGGTCCAGATTTATCTAAAGACAGCCATCATATTGCTGGAGTATTGTCAATGTTCAAGGTAGCCTAAGGGCTGGTAGACATTCTTGATTAATTTCCCTTCCTGGAGGCGACTTAATGGATCAGGTGGTCAGGCCCAGTGACTTGGTTGATTGTCATCATACCCTGACAGCATGGATCATTGCTCATGATATCAATCACTGGATTGTCTGGCCCAGACAATATTATATACAGGCCGTTGCATATAGCTGAGTGCCACACACTCATTATCTTTGTTTCTGTTGACAGGTATGTAGAAGCTAAAAAAGATAGAACAACCGTAATTTTCAGTACAATCTTCAAAGATGACGACGACATTGTGATAGGGAAAGTGTTTATGCAGGTAAGGACATTATCAACCTAATATCTGGTAATATCTCATATAAAATAAGCCGATCAATCTAGGTTCATATATTACTCATGTGGTATTCTAATAGCAAACCTGACAATCTATCAAGGTTTTCTTATCTTGTAGGTAGCCTATTTGAAACTTACCGTCTCGTTCGGGCTCAAATTCAAGTAGAAATTTACTTTGTTGTACCACAAGGATATACTGTAGGTTAAAATCCCAGATATTTATGAGAGTAGATGTGTCTTACTTTGATAACTGGAGGTACCATAAGTCCCCATGATCCCCAGCGATGTGGCCTAGCTTTGGTTACTGGTGGCCCATTGCCCATGTTTTAAACTGTATTAATTATATTGTTCTTTGATTGTTCTGGCCAAGACTTGGTTATGACTGATGTCATATAGCTGTAATATTGCTCATTGTGGTGTTAAATAATAAACAACCGACAAACAAACTTGTAGAGCTGACTTCAGGTAAGATACGTGAGTTATCTTATATTGAGGATGTGCTGACTTGTGGGATACGTAGAGTATGGGGAAATGTGCACCAATATCCATATTAACACCACTACATACTTATTTTTAATTGATTTTCAAGGAATTCAAGGAAGGTCGTAGAAAATACCAGCAGGCGCCTCAGGTGTTGTTCAGCCACAAGGAACCGCCCCAGGAACTCGAGAACACTGACGCTAGAACTGGTGATAATATAGGATACATCACTTTCGGTGAGTGGCCATCCAGGACAATCTGACAAGACCTGTAATTGAATGTCCTCAGATCTTTATGTAGCAAGCCCTAAGATTTTATCAGATTGCGAAATGTTAAGGTAATTGTATGCAGGGCTCGGTTTATCGATATAAAACATGCACCAGTTCAACCTATTATTAAAAATGGAACCTTATGCATACTTGATATATTCAGTATGTTTGTATTACTAGAGTAAATGTGTGAGTGAAAGTATGTTATTTTCTGTAAAAAAACAACTAATATGTACTGATCAGTTGTGCTTTATATCATGGGCTTTCTGCTACCTTGGGCGGAAGCACATTTTATGTAACAGGTATTTATTTTTAAAAACACTAATAGAAAAGAAAATGGAAGCTGATTTATGTCTACACACACTAAGTGCATGTCAAAATCTTTTAAATTTGCGGTTAGACCTTCCATGTCCACACAACATTGATTTTTTGAACACATTCAATATCTCTTAGCTTTATTTACCATACTACATCAACAATCCCTGTTGTGTCTAATTTGTCATGCTATTGGGGGCATGATGTCATCAAACTGTTGGTACAAACTGTTGATTATCTGCACGTGTTTCAAATTTGATAAATTTATGGGACCAGGGTACAACCTGGAGTTGTCTGGTGCAACTAGGTTTTCATGTCAACATGCACCTTAAATCAAGTAGCTTCAATCGAGCCCTGGTATGACACATGAAATGCGTGATAATGATTTCTGGGGCTTTTGAGAATTAGCAGTTTTTCTGTTATTTCAATTACTTGCTAACACCTGTCTATTTGTTATGATATTCACTGACTTGTTTCCTTGTGTTTTTTTCAGTTCTGTTCCCTCGCCACACCAACAAGAAAGCTCGGGATAATACCATCAACCTAATTCACACACTTAGGGATTACCTGCATTATCATATCAAGTGCTCTAAGGTGAGTTGGAGCTGGCATTGGTTTTAAATTGACGTATATTAGGCTTAAAAAATACTCAGGCACCACACCACCCACATCATCAAAAAGTTCGCCGCATGTTACATTTTTATTTCCATGTAATTATTTTTTTTAAATCCTAACACTTAGAAACAAACAATATAACACACAGTTACTTCCCTTTACATCTTGTGTTATGGTCATGGTGGCAATAGGAGTTTGTATGCTTGTAGGATGGCCCTTTCCCAGGTTGTGGGTACACAACTGTTCATTTACACACTAGCTTGAAACATTGCCTATATATTTTTTAAGCCTTATTTCAGAGAGTGTTTAAATAGGCGAGGAATTTATGGCGGCATAAATATGTCAAAAGTTTTCGATATGGTGGTGGGTCCTTTAGGTTGGCTGCTATTGTTTACAATCAAGGGACCCCATATATCTTATGTTATTAACATACGGCCCTTGACCATCCTTGATAAAATTCTGTGCTAATTTCGTGAATGCAAGAGTAGACATCTGACTTCCTGAAGACATTCCTCTCAAAAGTCCTCTCATTTTACCTCCCTTGATCTGACCTTGACCTTCAGGCATACATCCACCAGAGGATGCGAGCCAAGACGACAGACTTCCTGAAGGTATTGAACAGAGCCCGGCCTGAGAACAAGGACAAGGAAAAGAGGACAATAACGTATGTGAACAGTTACCATGGTTACTACTACACAACTGAAGTGCTATTTGTATTTCTTGTGATATTACCTCCCTTAGGCGTGCCAGAATCCTGTGATTATGGGTTTAAATTTCAGATTTCCCTTATAGGTTTCTGAGCTCCCTTAAAGTTTCACCAAGAGGTGAAAGAGCTGCATCACTGTAGGTTTTCCTTCCACATTTAGCTGGCACGCTTAGAAACGTAACTCACTCTGATATTATTGTGATTCTCAAAACACGTTAAGGCAAAAAAATCAAATTGTTTTTTAGTGTTTCTCCCAAAACCGGATTGATGCACAAACTGATGCAACTAATATGCAAATGTGAAGTTCATGTTCTATGTTTGAACTGGTGGTCTAACAAAGGTTTTCCTTTTCTTTCAGGGGTAGAACCTTCAAGGCCAATTAAGGAAGATTTTGTTTAAGCCATTTTTCCAATCATAGTGATAATAATATACACATCATTGTATGATTGAGGTTCCGCATAGGTTGGACATGAAAAGTGCTCTGTTACCATAGTTACTACTGAGCTTCCATCCTGTAGCTCAACGCCCTCTTCGGATTATTATACTTTGCTTTTGGGAGGGCAATTTACAAACCAGTTTGCTGATATTTCATTCTTGGCAACTGACATTTAATTTTCTGTTAAGATTTTCTCACTAAAAGTATTTACGATATATACATTTTTATTAGAAGTTAAAGGACACTGACATTTTAATATGACTCTAGTTAATCTCTCAGGCCATGACAGATTACTATGGTGATATGAAAGAATTGGGTGTTTAACTTTCGTAGTTTATACTTGAATAAATTGGAAGTGAGAGTGTGTTTTGATATTTAAAATAATCATGTATAATCTATGGACACAGGCAGGGGATTTCTGTGTTGAAGGTTGGCTCACCGGTTCATGCACTCAACTGCCATTCCAAAAAATCAGGTTTGAATCCCCATATTGGTACTGGTGAAGATACCTTTTGTGTACCCTACTGTTGTATAATGGGTGTCACTTACATAGACAAAGAACCCAACTCAGACAATCGGGTACTCAGCCTTCAAAGTTCATGCTATTCCACTAGCCCAAGATTACTACGTTGTGCGAGGACAAATAATAAACCAGTGATGGTTGTCTTTATTGACCAGCCGCATTTGAGGGCTATCATTCTGAAGCAGTTTTCAATACTTCAGTTTTGCTGTAAATTGAACAGAATAAATCTGACAGACAATGTAAGCATAGTCAATACTTCTGTCTTCAAACAAGACTAGGGGCCACGGGTGGCCCAGTCGTCTAAGGCGCCGCAATTAGCAGTGCAGAGTTGCATCCCTCGGACACGCCAGAATCCTATGATTGTGGGTTCGAATCCCGGTTCTCCCCGATTGTTTCTAGGTTTGTCAGCACCATACCCGTGCTTGTGGGTTTCACCAAAGTTCTAAACATCTGAGACCTGCATCACTTTGGGCTTTGCTCCCACATGAAGCTAACACGCCGCAATATAACTGGAATGCTGTTAAAATCGGCATTAAACCTAACTCACTCACTCACTTAAACAGGACCATCAACAATCTCGGGGACCTAAAGTAAGGCTTACGTTGATCCTCAAGCCCTATCTTAAGAAAAATGAATTTCTAAGGCTGGTACTTGACAAGATTGATTTTCAAATGAACATGGTGTTCTAGCTGGGTCACATGTTGGTGCCATGAATAAATACAAACATTCGACTCTCTACAAGACCTCGGGTAACTTTGTATAAGGTAAATTGCAATTGTCTATTTTTACTTTGGCGTCTTTGTAACGCAGAGACAGATTATTTGTTTGTTATTTCAGCCTTTGTCGTGTCTCTCCTATGCTGAGAGATTAAAAGCTTATTTTAATTGTTGATTTTCTTCATTTAATCTTTCTTCTCACACAGAATCTATGCATTAGTTTTGTTGAACAAACAGTACATGAAAGTGATCGGAACTGTTGATATGTGTACATTTCTGGTGTTTGTGTTAAAAACATGTATGTAAAACTTGATTGTAAATAAATATCTTAAATAACACCAACCACAATATCCTTTTTTGAAAAAGAGCCTTTATTTTGTTAACAAAATCATCATTTCAATGTTATTGCATAGTACATTCACAAATACAAGCTTCAAAATGCTCCTTTTTCTCAAGGAAAAAAGTTTTATTTTTGTTTCAATGTAAAGGATATATATATATATATATATATATGTATGTTTATAACAAAGCTTGCACATATAAAGCTTCAGAGGTGTGATCAAAGTAACCATGGCCTGGTATTATTAAATAATATGTAAGATGGTTGCATATATACTCACTACCAAAAGAAACGCTACCACCATACATGTTAATATACGAAGAATTACTCCTTTATTAGAGATATTAGATTGTTTTGCTGCTGAATCGAACATACTGATAAGCATAACACAGCACATGTCCTGCCTTAGATCCATGGCTCGAGATGCACCATTTTGTCTCGTATAGGATAAGCGTGTAAAGTCTGGAAGTTACGTGCAGCATATCATGATAAGAATAAAGACACTCTGGTAACACTTGACTGATTGTTAGTTTTGTCATTAAGTGTCATGGGGCGGTCGGGTAGCCTAGTGGTTAAAGCGTTCGCTCGTCACACCGAAGACCCGGGTTCGATTCCCGACATGGGTACAATGTGTGAAGCTCATTTCTGGTGTCCCTCGCCGTGATATTGCTGGAATATTGCTAAAAGCGGCATAAAAACGTACTCACTCACTCGCTTAACGTACATACTTCTCCATATGTTTCTATTGATCATGTTTCTTTTGGTGGTGAGTATACTTAAGCAAGCCAACATCTTTATATAGCATTCTATCCTGTGATTGCTGTGGTTTATATTGCTGCTACTTGAACCAACTGATGTTGCTACCATGTTACCAGATCAATGCATTATACATCTTCCCGAGGCAAGAGAGTTAACTTACTTTGAAAGTCCAGTTTCCACCCTTGCCGAACTAGGCTGGAATTACTGGGCTCGATCGTAGCGCCACCAGTGGCTATTACCAGTTATGTCCCTTCTATGCCTCTCCTATGGACCAATCAGATTCCACCTCTCGTATCACTAGTGTTTGCTTCACACAAAATGGTGGCGCCCATTCAGGAAGAACTGATCAATAATCAAGATCTATATTGTGATAAAACGGGTCTTACATCGCGAAATGCATCAAATCACGTGAGCACCTTGATTAAAAACATAAGATTTGGAAAATATCTGCTGACAACGAGTTGGCGGTGCACATGCTTTGCAAATCCTGTAATCGACCGAAATCTGCACGACGGTTTACCAAACGGATTTCGATTTCGGTGCGCGATTTTGATTGGACTATGCATAGACTCGTTAGTCCAGCCAAAATGTAACTGCATAATACCAGTCTAGTTCGGCAAGGGTGGAAACTGAACTTTTATAGTCAGTTAACTCTCTTGCCTCGGGAAGATGTGCATTATACAGCTGATTGACCTTTGGCTAGTCACTGGGTACATATGTACTGAGGAATAGAAATAAGGGAACTATTTGGAAGGAAGTGTGTGTATGTTCCCTGAAGATACCATATTTCCTCTACGTGCTGGGTCTGTATTAGGTGCTGGCTTCCACTCAGCATTGTCCGGCCTCAAAGTTGCGACTAAAACGGTGGCCAATGCGACCTAAATTTAAATTTGTCTTCTGTCAAAAATTCACAGGTAGCCAAATGACTACATTCAAAAATATCTTGTGGCGACTTACTTCTATTGCTACACATATGTAGACACAAAAATAAACATGTCTGCTTCTGATTGTACTTACAAATAATTCCTCCTAAAGTCAACAATGAACCGAAATGCATAAATATTAATGTAATTATTATTTTATTTTAGTTGATAGTTCATTGGATAAGCAAGGATATATGTACCCATATAATCTAGTAAAATAAATTGCATCATTGTTCGAGTCTCAAATAACATAACTCAAGTACAGCATGTGCAGTTTCTACTGAGATACAATTCCAAGACTAGTGCTATGACTTGTACATATAAAAGTTATTTGATAAGTTAATTTCAAATGCTTTTGGCTACCTACAATATTGGCTTGACTTCTTGATTTTACCACTGGCTACCTGGAAAAAATACTTGTAGCCATATGGCTACTTGGTAAAAATTTAATCTTGAGGCCTGGTTGTGTGTGTGTTGGATAACTATGTTCACTTAAAATAAGTTTTGGATCAAGAACCTGACATTCTGTTGCTCATGTCAATTTATAAGTGATTAACTTAGGCAACACTGTAGTTAGCAATATTTAGCAATGATTCTTCAGGTTTTGAAGTTTATTCAAAGAATAAGGGTGATTATTAAAGGAAATACAGTAAGTCCATGTGAATACATACATGGCCAAACATTTCATTCACTGTTATGCACAGGCGACTATCCTTGTCGTAAGAGGTGACTATCCTTGTCGTAAGAGGCGACTATGCTTGTCGTAAGAGGTGACTATCCTTGTCGTAAGAGGCGACTATGCTTGTCGTAAGAGGTGACTATCCTTGTCGTAAGAGGCGACTATGCTCGTCGTAAGAGGCAACTAATGTGATCAGGTTGCCTGGCTCGCTGACTTGTTGATGCATGTCATCGTATCCCAATTGCCTAGATCGATGCTTGTGGTATCAATCACTGGATTATATTGTCAAGACTCGATTATTTCCAGACTGCGGTCATATAGCTGGAATATTGCTCAGTGTGACATTAAACAACAAACAAACACAGTCATTCATTGTAGATATTTGTATTTGATCTGCACTATTCCTGTTCCCTTATTTTACTCCATCAGTATGTATTCACTAACACAGACCCTCCTGTATGTATGCTCCAGTCGGCAATAAACTTGTTTAACCAACAAACGCAGCATTAATCAATGGTTTATACCCGAAGGGTTGCTACCTACATGTTCTTTAGATTTCCTCTCATATTGTGTGACAAGCAGCAGGACCTCATTGGTCAAGATAAAGGATGCATTTATTGTTTGGTGACAATTTTTTGTTTCAGAAATTATTTCTTAATCCAAACATATAATTGAAATAATTGTATGTGACATATTGTTTGGGTTCAGGTTGATTTGTGTTTTTACAATATATGAAATATTGGTATATTTCTAGACAAGAAAAAAAAGTCCTAAATCTAAAATTTTTGAATGGGTCAAAATAGGCAAATGTTACATGAAATACTTAAAGATGGCTAGATAACAACCATTACTAGAAGGCAAACTTTAACATTGTTCTGGGTGCTTTTTAAAGGATGGAAGTGTACCTCACGATTATGTTAACTTGTTTATTGTATGATATATTTATCACAGTATAACTTTTTAAAAATATTTTGTCCAGATGGTCAGGTTATAACTGTACTTATTCAACATGAATCATGTTGTGTCTGTTAATTGGTCAGTCCAATATGGGTGACCCTGGGTTTATCCCATCCCTTGGTAGTAGCACCAGATTCGTTATTGGTCATAGATGTAACCATTTTATACATGGTTCTCTAAAGTAGCCTTTTACAATGTTACTCTTTAATCTATCTGCTTACCTTACAAGCCTTGTAGTCCCAAATAAGGATTTCTTTTAGGCTTTGTTTGTCATGAAATCAGGATATTTTGACTTGCCAGTACTTTTGAGTGAGTACACATCACTAAATGTCTGTAGATTATGAATCATGCTGCCTCTATTTTGTTTGGTGTAAACAAGACCGTTTAAATTCCAATTGTTATATGATTATACACATCTAACAGCAGGGTTAGAAATTTACGCTAACACAGGGCTAGTACAAATTTCCCCATTGTTTTAACATTACATGGGCATTTTATCCTCACTCAGGCTAATAAAGCTTTAAAGTTTAGTTCTAACCCTGAATAGAGTAGTTAGCCACCACAGTTATCAGTGGATCCTGCATTTGTAAAAGGGAGGGGTCTTTTCTCAGGGGGGGGGGAGGTCCTCCTGATCCACCCATGTTATCCCTTACCGGTACATTTCATCAGCTCTCTATTACAAGCTGATCAAGGGGCACAGGTTGCCTTCACCAGTGTTGTATAGCATCCTGAGGTCTTGCCAGGATCTGCTAGTCGTTGGTTTGAGTCCCACATGTACCCGGAATACGATTATTTGTGTGTGTGTCACGAACTTGGGGTCTCTGTTAGCTTGATTCTTGCCTCATTCCTTAACTGGTTGGCTCGGAGTCTGAATACTTTATCTGAGTGGGGTATTCATGTTGCAGTACGGTATCTCAGTGGGCAAGCTATGAGACTGGCATTTGTCCGGACTAGTACAAACAGTCACAAAATCAGTGCATGCACATCACTGTGTTAGTGACATGATCTTGAATGTGGCGTTAAACCCCATTTCACCTCGCCTCACCACACTCCAGACTCAGAGTATACTTTCCTGAATTATATATCTCACTTTGTTTCAGTTTCCTCAGAACTAGTGACCTGGGTGCCATTGCACAAAACAACCTTAGCGCTACGACCCGTAAGTCTATGTTAAGGTATGGGAGTTACGATCACCTTAGCGCTAAGATCGCTTTGTACAATGGCACCCTGACCTGCAGCTACCCTGCATGAGATGTTGTTAACAGAGTTCAAAATTAACAGAACTCCTTGTCCTAGACAAGTTCAAGGAGAGTGATATGTTCTTGTGGACCACCACTTTTACAATAGGTGGATTACTGGCCGCGCTTTTTTACAGACTAGTGAAAAAAAGAACCTATTTCTTTCCCCGTGTAAACAGTTTTTCTGAACACTGGAATGTTGCCCAATTTAAGGTTTTGTTAACTTAATATTCCTTTGTAAACAATAAGATATAGCTTAATATAATAAACTTGTTACAGAATATGTTCACTGTCTAACCCGTAGTCCCTATATTGAACATACTGTCTTGTATATATATATTGATAATATCATAATAAAACCAGTGCCTAATGAGATGGTGTCTTCTTGTGTGTGATACATGTCTACGACCTCAGTCACATCTGTTCTTCACAAGCCTGGGGGGGTCACTGGTGGCCTAGTTGAGTGACGCGCTGCGTCACGCTGTACAGTGTTGCATCCCTTTGGCGCGCCAGAAACCTATGTTCATGGGTTCGAATCCGGTTCGTCCAGATAATGCTTCTGGGTTAGTCAGCACCATGCCTGTGCTCTCGTGTTCCACAAAGTGGCCGGTTGGTTGGTTGGTTTGTTGTTTAACGCCGCACTCGGCAATATTCCAGCTATATGACGGCGGTCGGTAAATAATCGAGTCTGGACCAGACAATCCAGTGATTGATATCATGAGCATCGATCCACACTATTGGGATTGATGACATGCATCAACCAAGTCAGCGAGCCTGACCACCCGATCCCGTTAGTCGCCTTTTACGACAAGCATAGTCACCTTTTACGGCAAGTATGGGTTGCTGAAGACCTATTCTACCCCGGAATCTTCACGGGTCTCACAAAGTGGTCGGAAATTGCATCAGTCAGGCTTTCCTCCCACATTAACTTGACACGCTGTATTATAACTGGAATACTGTTTA